ATTCCCCAGCCAGCTGGCTGGGGAATTCTGGGAGTTGAAGTCCACACATCTTCAAGTGGTCAAAGGTTGAGGAACCCTGCTGTACAGTACCGTACATATACTGCAATCACACTTGGACTTTTTTTTCCTGAATTATTTTATAAGGCAGTGTTTCTTAAAATATTTTTCTCTCAGGATCTCTTCTTCCTTTTAAAAATTATGGAGGACCCCAAAAGAGCCTTTGTTTGCATGGCTTATATTTATTGATATTTACTGTGTTAGAATTAAATTTATTTATTTATTTAAAACGTTTGTATGGCTACCCATCTTAAACGCAACTTTGGATGGCTCGCAAAATTGACCCATTCACTGCCGCTACCGCTTCTCATGATGTTTGATGGGATTTTAATATTGTATTATTTTTTAACATAGACTGGCAAATAATTTTGATTTAGGACCACACGTTGAGAAACACTGGTATAAGTGATTAGGCGATGCGTGTCTTGTCTGCCTCCTCCCTTTCTTGGTTTATATAATCCCAAGGGTCTATTCATTGCAAGGTGCATATTATGGAGTCAGCCTGAGCGTGGGGGTCTGCCTGGTACTTTTGCCATCCTGAATTTGATTCGATAGAAGCGGGAGCGGCAACAGTTTGCAGGAGGTCTTATCAGCTGACAGGCGTCTTGCAATTCTTATGCTTTAATGCACCACTGCGTGCTGATCCGGTACAGGAGAGAGGCTGACGTCGGGGTAGGTCCTTCGGTTTAAATCTTGGGACGCAGATATCCCTTTAAGAAATAAGACGTCCCGAGGTGAAAAACCAGAAGCCCGTAGGCTTTGCTTCGTGGCCTTTAGTGCGCCTGCTCTGGGCAATCCCCGGCGCATGCGCAGAGGCTAACAGCGGTGGCGTCTTCCCCTAGACCGAGCAACGCTGGTGCTTGGTGGGTCAGTCGGCATCCAGCGGGGGCGTCGTCTTCGATTTCGGATGTAACGCGGTCCGGGGCTGCGACCAGCGACTGGAAACCCCCGCCGTCTCTCCGCCACCCAAGCGGGAGAAGAGGGCATGCCGGGCAGGGAGTGAGAGCGGGGTGGCCTGCACCCTGTTTTCTTCGGGGAGGCGCCCGCGGTGGTGAGTGCGGGGGCGGAGGGGAAGCGGGACTTTGCCCTCGCGTCAGCTGGTGGCCTGCAAAGGGGAAGGGGCGGGCAGGGACCCCCAGGAGAAAGCGGGGCGGCGGGGCGGGCAGCCCCCTTCCCTCCCCCCGCGGGGCAAAGGGCGGAGCTGCCTCCTCACGACCCTGGGCAGAAGCGTCGCGGATCAGACTCCTCGCCTTCCCTCCGCGGCGCAGGCATTCGCCTGCTCGCCCTCCCTCCCTTCCTTCCGCTCCATTTTGCTTCCCCACCTTCGCTTCCCTGGGGGGCAGGGCTCTTCTCAGAAGGCGGTCGCTTGATCCGAGGTAGGAAGAGCCAGGTGATTGGCGGACTCCGTGGGCTGGGGAGGTTGGTGAGATAAGAAGTAGCGAAAAGGAAAGAAGAAGAAGAAAAAAGAAAAAAAAAAGGAAGCGAACCCGCTTCCTTCCCTTTTACATCTCTGCTCATGCAAGTTCGCTTACTGTGGCTATAAACAGCCCCGCCAGTGGGTATGACCGACATCCTGTTTATAATTGCCTTCTTCTGACTGCGTCGTCTTCGAAGTCTCTCTCCCCTCCTCCTTTCCTCAAACTCAGTTTCTTCATGCCTTCTTGGACTTTGCCCCACGAGGATCAGTTCTCACCGCTGTTGCAGGTTGTCACTTTTTCTCCTGTGGGTTGCTGTTCCTCTTCTCATGATCATGATGATGTTCATAATGGTGAGGAGGGTGGTCTTCACTAACTGACAACATGATTTATGTAGGAAATTTATTTAGCTTTTCCAGTCACTTTCTCTCTCCTTACTTATCTTTATAGGATTTCGTTTCCTGAACATCAGTCAGCTTTGCCTTCTCAGAAGTCAACCATAGTTAGGTTGTCATATGTAGTAATTAAGGGGATAAATTAAAAATAGCAAATAGGGTAGGTCAAATGTTCCCGCCTTTTGCAGGAGCATCCCCCACCCCAAGATCAGTTAGTCTGCCTGCCTTTAAAGGTCTGTGTTCCCCCCCCAAGTGAGTGTGAAAGTAGATGACCTGCTAGGTGAGGGTTTTTTAAAGTTTTTTTTCTTCCAGCACTTATGTGTATCTATGTTGTTATCTTGCTTTTTTTTTTTTACATTTTGTTTTATTATGTGGTCCATATTGATTTTTACTGTTAGTGATGATGTACATGTCCTGAATTATGTGCAAAGTAGGTTTAATAAAAATATTTTTTAAAAAATCCCACTAGGAAATTCCTTATATATAATGGGAGGAAGGGAAGAAATAATCCAGGACGAATGGGGGAGGATAATAAGAAAAAGGAACCAATACCTTTTCAGTCTTGCATAAATAGGAATTATGTCATAGAAAAAAGGCTATGTAATGCTAAGCCAAAAAACAAAAAGCACCATTCCTCTCATGTAGAAAATGATACACAGATAGTACATTCAACTCTAGGATGTATTTTTCAGTCTGTGAAACTTAGTTTGGGGAAAGGGGTTGTTCATCCTGGCTGTTATTGAAGTGTACCAGAGGTGGGCAAGTAAAAAAATGCATGTTGCTACCTAAAGACACAAACTCCTACTCCATCTGTACTTGCATACAATGCCATGATGCAAATAAAAAAGTATGGGGCTCGTGTCATGATATATCACAATACACATTTCATCATTTTGGTGTTGTCATGGCTATCTGTGAACACTTGTGTTAAAAATAGAAAATGTTAAAATGATATTGTTAATTGCTAGAAAATGGCAGAATTGGGTAACTTTATTAGTGTACTGTATAGTAAAAAAAATGCTGTTTTCTATCTCTTTAAATTTTTCTAGTATAAATTGTTAGAAAATTTAAATTATTGAATTTAGGAACTCTTCTTGTAGACCTCTACTGAAAATAAAGTTTAGACTTTGTTTCTATACCAGTTATCTTGAATTATATCAGGCTACTTTCCCTGCATATCTACTTTGTGCATGCCTTCAAGTCAGTGTTGACTCCTGGTGACTGCCTGGACAAATCCCTGCAGTTTTCTTGGAAGTGTTTTGCTGTTGCCTAGGGCTGAGCAAGAGTGACTAGCCCAAGGTGGCTTGGCCGAAAGTGGAACTAGAACCCAGAGTCTCCTGGTTTCTAGCTTGGTTCCTTAACCGCTACACCAAAGGTACCTTTTATCATAAAATGCTACTGTATTGGGTTAATGCTGTGAATAATGGCTGTAACACACATCCTGCGAGCTTCCTATCTATTCAAGTATATATGTGTAATTTATGAAGAATGCTGCTTATTTTTATATATGTGTCACTGTATTACAGCTGCCTTTCTGTGAAAAATAGATGTTTCTTCTTTTTAAGGAGAAATATAGGAAATCAGACTTCAGGTTGAAGCCATTTAAATGTTGTTATAAAACAGGAGACTTGCTTGATTGCTGTGCTTTTGCTGGACCTTGAATTATGCTATGGGTTTCTGTGGAAAGGCTTTCTGTAAACAATTCTGTCTTAAGATAATGAATTAGGCCATGTTAAAAGGGTTCATAATAACCTATGTTGATGAATAACTGTTATTATAAATAAGAAGTTTTCATGTAATTTTACATAACTGCTCAGTCCTTTTTCAAAGGATAAGTTTGAGATTCCCATTTTATGTCATATGCTAATATTTATTGTTAGTATATACTAATAGTTTTTGTTCTGCTTTGTTACCCGTAGGACACTAAAATACAGATAGCCCCTGGGTTAAGAATGCCTGGGTTACAGACAGCCCATAGTTAAGAATGGAGTCTGTTGTAGCAAAATTTGACTTAAATACATAATGGTTTGAGTTCATTACACAATACTACTTATACAGTATTACAGAATAATATTGTTCCAGCTTACATACAAATTTGACTTAAAGACAGACCTTGGGAAGGGAACTCGTTCTTGAACTGGGGACTACCTGTAAATCATTCTTGTATTCGTAATCTGGGTCATTTAGGTTTATACATTGTTTAGTACTACTAGTTCCAATCTTCTAACATTATGAAGAAGAAAAAGTACTAATAAATGAAAAATTAGTTGAGTGTGGATCTGAAATATTTTGTAGCAGTAAGGCAGGAAAAGCAGGTAACATCTATGAATTACATCCTGTTATGGGGGCTGAGACTTCATTATATACAACGTAGTATTCTAATTGAAGTTCTATTTTCTGTTTTAGAGAATATCTGATGAAAAAATTAAACATGATGAGAATTTGTCTATAAGATATTGATTTAAAAGCAAGGATATATGTTACGGGCAGTTCTATAAACAAGACTGCTAATTTAGAAAAACTGATTAAATTTCTAAAGTGATAAAAGCCTAAAAAAGAGTGTGATTAAAAAAAAACATCATAGATGTGAGGAAAAACATAGAAATGAGCAAATAACAAACTAAGTGATATGGTTGAAGTCTTGTCCCAGTGCCTGGAGGCTGTAGGGGTCTGGATGGGGAGCAACAGGCTTGTTGCTCCCCATCCAGCTGAACCTTGGTAAGACAGAGTGGCTCTGGGTTTTTGGGCCTTCTGGTTCTGGGATTTTACCATCTTTGGTACTGGATGGGGTGGCACTGCCCCAAACAGACCCGATGCACAATCTGGGGGTCCTTCTAGACTCAGGACTCCTGCTGGAGGAGCAGGTGGCAGTTGTGGCTAGGAGGTCCTTTGCACAGCTTCATATTGTGTGCCAGATGTGTCCCTTCCTGAACTGTGAGTCTCTACTCACAGTCAGTCATGCCCTGGTCACCTCCATAATGGACTACTGTAATGCGCTGTACATGGGGCTCCCCTTGAAGACCATCTGGAAGCTTCAGGGGATGCAGAATGCGGCTGCTCGGAGAGTTATGTGTGCCCTTAGGAAGGGACACGTTATACTTCTGCTCCAATGAGCTGCGTTGGTTGCCAGTTTGGTTTTAGGTACAATTCAAGGTACTGTTTTGACCTTTTGTCAGGCCTAGCCCAAGGAACTCCAAGAGACCATGTAAATTCAGTCCAGCTATGTTTATTAGCAAGAATCTTCCCAGACTGAAACTCCAGCTCCCAAGTAATGCCAGCCACAACATTGTGAATTCCTCAGGGAGGTGCCAGTCTCATCCTCTTGTATCTCCCCTGCTCCTCAGGAGATGTAAGAAAATGTTTTTCTCCCTGAGCCTGGCCTTCATAATTCCATTCCATTCCATCACATCTTTAAACCCTACATGGCATGGGACCAGGTTACTTGAGGGACCACCTCTTCCCAATTACCTCTACCCATCCCACCAGGTCAGGCAGGAGGGGTATCCTGTGAGTCCTGTCTCCAAAGGAGCTCCATCTGGTGGGACCTAGATGTGCCTTTCCACCCTCTGGAACATCATTCCCCTGAGGTGAGGTTAGCCCTATCTGTACTAACCATCTGGAAGGCCCTTAAAACATGTTTTTTTCAGCAGCCTTGGAGATCCCAGGTGGTTGTATGAAATCATGTGATGTTTCTTCTCTCACATTCTTGGGTTTCATATGTTTATTTATGTTTGACTGTTTTTAGATTGTTATGGAGTTTTTAATAGTTACGTCGTATGCTGCCCAGAGTCACAGTTTTGTAAGATGGATGGCTATATAAATATGCTAAATAAATAAAAAATAAAAGAAAGTAGCAAGAAACCAAGGAAAGGGTAAATAGGAAACTTAAACTACTGTGAGAATTGAGGACTGAAAGGAAAACATGCTGTACGATATGTAGGTTGTATATGTTTGTAGTCACAGTGATACAAGGAATAATTTAATAAGGCATACATTTTGTGTAAACTCTGTGATGTCTGGTTGAAAGAGATGCGAGATTAAGTTTTGTATTTTCCTTCCTAATAACTTCACATACTTTGGTGGAATGAGATGCAGAAAAATAATTTCTAACACACATTCTCAGTTCTATATATTAACACTAAATTGTCTTTACCTGTTGGGCATTTATGGCATTTTATTCAAGATGAGAATCATGTTAAATAGCTGGCAAAAAAGAAAGTTTTTGAGGTAAAACATGGGTC